CTTCAGGAGATATAAAGCAAAAAGTATCATAAGAGAACAAAGAAAGGCACGAGATTGATTACACTTCATGTCTACGTCTTCTTGTCACCTTAGAAACAATTACAAACCATCATTAACGTGCAGATCACGTTCCAATCGAAACAAGGGTGTTGGTTGAAATGCGTGACCAAATAAACTCATCTTGTAAAACGTCTTGGCCTTTTTATGTAACTTGCGTTTTCATTAACGGGGGAATAGAAAGTGTCATGGTTAAGTGTTCTGAAGCAAAGATCAGAAGTTTAAAGGATCTTGTGTCAATACCACGGGATTAAGGATCGGTATCGGTGAATATTTGCCGATCAATTGATTAGAAACTCAAACTTCTTCACAAAATTCACTGAGAGGTTATCCTCGGGGTAATTTGCGAACACCCCGCCAGTTTTTTTACCCTTTTTTCCAAACTACTTGCGATCTTTGCTTTTACGGCGATTCTTTTCGATGAGCAGTATGGTAGTATATAAACGCAGAATAGGTTTCTACAATAGGAGCTAATTGACTACTGCCGACCCGTTGCTTTTCAAGTAGAGTTTCAATGGCAGGTGTAATGGCCTTTACGGCTCATGGTTAAAGTTTTGGCCAATTTAGAGTTATTAAAACACTCTCGAGGACAGGTAAATGGTTTACTCATAACGCCATGTCAGTGTTGGCATCGGAACTACAAGCAATAATTCTACACACTTTTTGGCTTGATTTCTATTGGAAATTACATTTTTTCCAGATGCTTGTAACAAAAGGAACTAAAAACCCCCTGAATCGAACCTTTTTAAAGTTTATAGCAAAATTATTTTTTTTATTCCTGGATAGAAAAGGTATCTCTAAACAAAAACAAAAAAAAAAATAGATTCTTCTGCAACAGTTAGTTAAAAAACAGGCTGGAAACTATTGTATTTTCTGACAATAACTCATATTTATGACTCCTGTTTCTAATGTGTCTCGCTACTCACCATCAGTGATTCTCTTTGGTCAGCAGATCGAAAATAAAATTATTTTCCATAAATATCTTCTTGTTAAACTCTTTTTACACGCGAGTGGGAACAGTTCGTAATATCCTGAACTCTTTCTCCGGCGTTAAAAGTGCAGCCGTTCGTTTTGTTTCCTTCTATTTCGTCTGTCTAAATGGCTGCTCTCCTCTTTGCAAAACACAAGCGTAGAGCTTGCCGAAACTCAGGAATTTTAAGTGCATGCAGAAGGAAGAAACCGAACGGCTGCACTTTTACGTTCGTGTTGTACGAAGAGGAGAGCAGCCATAGGGACGGGGAAATCGGAAGAAGAGACCGAACAGCTGCACTTTGGACGCTGGAGATGGAGCTGAGAATATTACCAACCGATCCCATTCCCCTTTCAATAGAGTTTGAACAAGAAAATTTTTAATCCCAAAATACGATAATTTCCTACCTGTTTGATAAATTTTTGTTGCGGTAGAACCTTTGTGTTGTCAAGAGATATACTCCCCATCGGAAGTACTTGTACACACAAGTCAAGTGAATTTCACCTAGGATAGAAGTATTCTCTTTCAGTTTTGCTATCTTAGTAAATATCTTGTCATGTTACAAAGAATACACAGAGATTTTACATGGTGGCGAGAAGATATGAATTTTATGTTGGAGTGGCAAGAACAATACGCTAGCAATGATTTATTTGTTGTTGTTATTAAAACCAAAAATAGACTCAACCAGACTTTACGTTGCCGGAATCATAACCAACCGGTCGCACGCAACAGTATTTATCTGTTCGCTAGGGTTTTTATCGTCACTAATTTTTCACCAATGGTTTGAATACGAATCGAAACGAAAATGGTAATTTTGGTTGTGAATCGACTAAGTAAGAAACGTTCGTGAGTACGAAACGATTAGATACCATTGGTTGTATGTAACGTAGATTTTGTAGGCCTATTGCAGACCATTGAAGTGGAGTTGTAGACTGAATTGTCCATCTAGTTGGTGATTGAATTGTCGGTTCGAACAAAAACATAGATTACAATACATTCTAACATAATAATCATGCTCGACGAAGACAAAAAGTGTTAGCACATAGCAAACAGTGGATAGCGGTGAAGTTGCATTGTGATTGACTACTCAAACTCCAAATATACTCAGTTATTCCTTGTAGAAACGTATTCTGTAAGAGAGCTCTGTCGTTATCCTCTTTGAAGGAAAACGAATCGGAATTTTTTGTAATTAATGCACTACTGTAACGTGCATCTAAAAGAGTCGGCGTAAAAGCAAAGATCGATATATAGTAGTTTGGAAAAAAGGTTTAAAAAAACTGACAGGGTATTCACAAATTACCCCGAGGATAACCTCTCAGTAATTTTTGTTAAGAACTGAACTTTGAATTTCTGATCAGTTGATCGGAAAAAAGTTCACCGATACCGATCCTTAATCCTGTCGTATTGATACAAGATCCCCCGTTTAAACTTTTGACCTTTGCTTTAAAACATTTAGTCACGACACTGTGTATTCCCCAGTTAGCCGGAAAAACCCAAGTTAAATGAAAACGCCGACTCGTTTCACAAGATAAGCTAATTTGGCCGCGCATTTTAATAACATCCTTGTTTTGATTGGAACGTGATCTGCACGTTAATAATGGTTTGTAATCGTTTATTAGGTGACAAGAAGACGTTGACATGAAGTGTAATCGATCTCGAGCTCTTGCCTTCCGTTGTACCCTCATTATACTTTTTGTTTTACATCTCCTGGACTAAAAAAGATACCAAAATGAAATTTCAGAAAAAAGTAAATCTTTATTTTCTTTATTGGACATAAAATTTTTAGGAAATTGAGAAAAATATGACTTTTTTCCTTCTGTGATACCTTAATATAAATTCACTTAATTATAGACAATAATTTACCATTATTTCGCTCTCATAGTAATAACTTATCTAAATTCAATGGTGTTAGATGACTGTTTAATGCGGACAGAGAAATAGAATAGTGCATCACGTATCATGTGTCCAGAACAAATTATACTGGATGTGTTTTTACGCTTTTTACTCATCACTTTGAGGACTGATGACGCCCCAGTCGACTTTTAAAGAAATTTTCATACAGGTTATACAGGCAAGAAATTTGTTTCAAAAGCCTTACCCCTCATTAAAAAAAATACATGAACACCTGTTACATCTTCGAATAAACGGGCATTTAATTTATTGTGACACGAAGGATTCTACGTGGCACAGTATTTGTTCAAACTCATTTCCTACTCCAACTACATTAACACCTTCAAAAAATTACCATGATATTGACAGAAATTTCCGTTCAAATCCCTCCGATAAAACTGACCTTTGCATTAAAACAACGTGTCACAAGCCCGTCTCTTCGCAGGAGAAACCTCAATAGGGAATCTCAACTGATCAAGAAGTAATGTGGGTGTATATGCCCTCATATATTCTGCAAACAAATAACGAATATCACCCGGGAAATATTCAGTGAAGTAGTGCTTTTACACCAAGCGCGTGAGAGCTAAGATAGTTTCCGAAAATCAAATACTTAAGAGAAAAGACTATTAAATGCAGATAAAAATTTGAATGAGACTACAATCGATATAAGAGCATGCCTCTTCGCTCCAAGAAATAACTTCTTAGTTCTTGTAAAAGGAATTCACACGGTTTACCGCACCAGACATTACCAGCAATGCGAGTCATATTGCGTCTCAAATACCGTACGTCAATCAAAGATTACTTTCAAAATGGCTTCCCGAAGATACAAAGAAATGTATGGGATCTGAAATAAAATCTTATTTTTTGGCAGTTTAAATAAATTAAATTCTACGTGCCGACCTCTCGTTGATAAATAATATGCAACTGCACTACGAAGCGAAAGTTTTTTCACCGTTTCGTTTATTCGTCGAGCCGCGGAATAGAGGTAAAATAACAAAGATCTTCGGTTGTACTTCCTTTATAGTTTCATCCAAATACCTTCACTTACCTTCACTTCCATGCTTTGAGCTGTCCGTGTGTTTCATGCTTTCATCGGTGCCGACCCCTCAAAATTTTCTTCAGTTTACGATCTTTCAAATACGTTAAATAAAGCCTTCCATGATAAAATAGGAGGCCGCAAATCAATCTTGAAAATAGGGCTTTTTCACTATTAGACGTAACCTTTACCTGAGCTCGCGAATGTCCTGTAGGACGCGAAGAACGACCACTTTCCATCGTTTTCTTCGTGAAAAAAGTCGCCATATTTACTTCAGCTTAGCAGCCTAGCATTTCCACGCTTTTTACCGCTGTTTTAACAATCTGCAGACTCCTACAAGCGCCAAATCGCGCCAATTATAAAAAATAGGTACCCAATGGGTACTTGTGTCTGCTACAGTGGAATGGAATCTGCTATAGGCGCCTATTTTTTTGAATACTGTTAAACTGGCTAGAAACATCTCCCGAAAGGCAGTGCTATGGAATGCTCAAGGCATCACAAAGATGGGGAACTGAAGTGGTGAATGTCCAATGCTCCAGTTGGAGGTAAGGGATCATCAATATCAATCATCAATATCATGATTGTGATTACATCTTCATCACTGTTTAAATAACTGTTATTGTGTTATGGTACTGCAAAGAATCTAACATTAAAGTGAACGTTTCTTTTATTTTGTAGCAGAATATTTAAATCAAAGAATTGAAATACAACAGCCAATAGTTTTTAACAAAATTGAATAGTATCTGAAGTCTTTGTAACACAAGACAACTGTAATGCAAACGCAGTAGCAGTTTTGCAAAGCAAGAAAAAGTCTCTGGTTGTAATAATTCCTAGGAAATCATTATGTTTTTCATTTAATGGTAATATGCAATCAATTTGGAACAAAACATAGGTAAAACAAAGTTAGTATATTTACATTGTTGTGTTCAAGTAACTAATAGGTGAATATACTTTTAAAAGTATTTTGAAGTGTTTGTCTTTTAATTGAAATGAAATGTATCAGAAATGTAACGCAACAGAAATAATCAGCAGGATTAAAACAGAATTGTTCCCAAAGTGTCACCTTAATGGCTCCATGTGGGTCCACAAGATAGGCAAACAACTTTTTTTTTTCACCATCCTCTGTCTTCACTTTTTTTGTTGATGACATCTGAATAAGTTTGGCTTTTTTGTGATGGTGATACTTTGATTTGTGTTTGCAGCTGAAATTGATTGGATATTGTTGGCACTTGGCAGCTCAATTCTTGAAAAAGGTATTTCTTTTGTAGGCTCTAACAGTACATTGTTATTCATCAGTACTGTGGTTGCATCTCCTGCTCTTTCAATTCTAAAATTTCGAAGTTTTATTGGAGATTTCTTTTTGCTCATTTGATCAAAGTGTTCCTGTTTACTTCCGGAGAAGCAGACTCCTCTTACTAAGCCATGGGTGGTTTGTATGGACATGTCAAAGTAAGATGTCTTGCTACTTTTTTTAGTTGGAGACACATTGTGTAAGAAACCAACAATCTCTTCTTTTTGTTCTTCCATTGCCTGCAAGTGAAAAAGAACCTGTTGAGTTTGTTTCATAGCAATATAATGTATTTCAAAATTTCTAATAACATAGGGAGCACTGCATCAAAAGACGACAACGACTACGACAACTACTACAAATTTAACTATAACAACAAAATGCCAAAAAAAAAAACTTACCTAGGTGAATTATAATTTTTTATTTGTTTACTTATTCATTATAAATCAATCAACAACAGCAGCCTCTACAGACAGGAAGGAATAACACTAAATGAAGGTTGGGGAGTGCAGTATACTGCAAACTGTTTATTAGATGATACTAATACTGAAAATCAAAGTGAACAATTACAAGAAATGGAAAAGAGCAGTGGTTCCAATAAGCAAGATGGAAATGACAGTAATGATAATGATGATCAGTGGACTGAAGATGAAGCAGAAACACCTGCTGGTGTTACTGACACCATGTTGACCAACACACATTATTTTGAAGACAGTCTGCCTCAACGTATTTTAAATGTTGCACCAGGAGAGGGAAACAAATCCTTAAGTATATTCAGAGATCAATATTCTGAAGAGTTAGCATATCCTGGTATATTCCTTGGTCAAAGTCGACCAGAGAATAAAGATAGACTAGCTAATGTTCATTATAGCGACATTTGTAAATCTGAACTAAGACGATCAGATAGGAGAGCTGCTATGTGTGTTGAAAATATATTCTTCAAAACAAAAAAGCTTCAAATGAAAATTCTCTTAAGAAAATCACAAGTTGCACTTAGGAAGTGCAAAGGAAATAGCAAATCTTCAAATGCTGGACAGTTGAAATGTGAAGGAGCAATTGAGCGCTTAATTCATCTTGATGAAGGATTCCAATTTTTGAAAGCATTGATACCTTACAACTGTATGCAAAGATCTGTTCATAGCGATGCTTAGATAGTAATTATCATGAAGAATACTAGTTCTAGGTTTCTCTCCTCTGTATAAAATCACCACAGCTTTCGCACATGTTTGTCTAGTGATAGATGTTTTCACGTGTGTAGTGAAATACATGTATCTTCTGCCAAATCCATTTCGTAAACAGGGCATATTATATCCCGCATTGGGCTTTGTAATCCCCAAGTGAGACTTAATAATTCCCTTAACGGGCTTTTCATTCCCCAAATGGGGCTCAATTGTTCCCCGAAGGGACTTTGCATTCCCCAAATGGGGCTCATAAAGCTTATTTTGCGTCCTGAGCACTTGCAAAATGGCCGGGCGGTGATCGTGTTGGCGCCGAGAAAGCTTCAGTCGATTTACAAATTCAAAGCATCTTTCAAAACCTTTCACTCGGCCGGAATGACACCCAGTGCGAATCCATTACAAATATGAAAAGCGAAAAGATCACTCACCTTGCAAGCAATAATACACCCTGGCTTGACGAACGAAATCAGGACGATACGATGCAACCCAAACGTTTTACGAAAGCACATGGTTTGACGGATTTGACTTTGTCCTTTTCTCAGATTTGATTGGTTCCGAGTCTTCCCGGAAATCGGTAGTTCGCCACGACCTCTTTCCTTTGTCCTTTCCTCGTATCCCATTGGATAGATTATTCCCCTGAGGAACGAAGTTTGCACCCGAAAGTATTACAGGCCGAAAGTATTACAGGCCGAAAGTATTACCCCTCCGTGCATACTTCATGTATCGTGTCACCAAATGGAATCCGCAGTGAAACGTCAAGAGTAAATCCGAGATCTTGTCGTATATGAAGCAGCTGGTCGCGCGTTTTACAGCTTATCTAAGTGTCTGCATGCATTATAAATGCAGCAGACACAAAAACAAAACTTGTATCACTGTGAGCTCATTCCAGTCTGAATCGTCAAAAAATGTCTGATGTTTTGCTCGATTTCGAAAAGAAATCCCTAGAATTTCAACTTAAGGTCACTGAATCTCCTCTTTCTTATATAAAACAGCAATGCGTTCAAGAATCTCGAATAGCTCTGGCAATATACATCCCGTATCCAATTTTGATGAAATGGCATGAGCTTGTTGGAATAAAAGACGAGAGAGGAAATGAGTTAAACTACATTGACCTTCTTAATTTTTCGGCTGATAAGTCTCTCCACAAAATAAACTTTAGATCCGCTTTTAAATTTTCTCCTTCCTTTCAAATGAACTTCTAAATCCACTGTAGAAAGAACATTTAGTGCTTTATAATCAACTCGATTCCTCCGCGGAAATCTACTTCGCTCCATGTTTACATGAAATCTGACGCCATAGCGCATGAACAGTAGAACCTGAAGAAACTACTGACCTCGCGGACCGCGGGAGTAAAATGTCTCGGATTGCTGGTAATGAAAAGTCAACGGATCAGTAATGTAAATGAACTTTACATAAGATAATAATTCCTTATTATTTCTCTCTCTCTTTGCTATGGCTCTTTTAAATTCAACGGTGTAGAATGAATTTCTAAGGCAAAATTAGAACTAGAGCAGTGCATTGAGGATCATGAGTCAAGGGCAAATTATCCTGGAAGTGTTATTACACTGTTTATTTGTCAATTTAATGAAGATTGTATCTCATTGAGAGATAATAACACCCGAGTGGCTTTACGAAGAAATTTTGAGCCAAGTAAGAAATTTACAGAAGCTTAGGCGCCTCTTTTTTTTTCCTCTCTGACCTAAATTCATCACAGTAGGATGAATGTTTAATGTAAATTTGAAAATTTATCAACGCGCTAAGTAGAGAGTTAAAGCAAAATATCTTAGAGGTGTCACAACAAAATCCGTTCATCACAGATAGAAAATTATTTCTCATTGAGAAATGATAACCATATATGCCTCTTCGCTCCGAAAAAGATTATTTTTAAGATTCAAGTAAAGGGAAACACGCGGTTTTCTTGAACGGATCAGTTAGCGGATCAGTTAATGTAAATACAATTATCTGTAGATAATAATTTGGATCATTTCTTTCTCTTTGCTAAAACTCATTTAAATTGAACGGCGTAGGATGACTGTTAAATGCAAAATTAAAAATTGAAGAGTGTATTATGTAGCATGCGTCTGGGGCATATTATCCCGAAAGCGTTATTTATACTCTTTGTTCATTGAAAGATGATAACGTTGGAGTCGGTTTGTTAATAAATTTTGAACCAAGTAAGAAATTTGTTCAAACCTAATGAAGCGGTAAAACTTTGCAGAAAAACACGCAAACAGCTGTCACCTTGTTTGATGAACAGACATATATCGCGACATGAAGGGCTCTACGTGCACGGTCTTATTTCGAAATGCATTGTCTACGTCGACATCATGACTGCCTTGAGTAAAATTGCTATGACACATAAATGACTTTTCAGCTGTTGTTATTTCGTGTCGTTGCAGAAGATCGAGTTCCTCTCCTTCGAAACACCACATTCTTTCCCGATCAAACGTTTCATCCCGTAAACCATTTAGTTACACGTTAACTTTGTTTGAGGCATTGGCAGTGAACGAAATCCTACAAATAAGTCCAAATTTGCAAGAAGTTTCCAAAGCAGAAGGCATCCGTCCTAAACATAACAGTAAACTTGCTTACTTTTAAAATAACGTTTGTGAGAAAATTGCGCACTTTTGATCGGCTGAAAACGAGTACATTCCGATGTAACATGAGTACAAATTACTAATAGCGCCTTCTTTTACTATTTGAGTAAGTACTGAGTAATCCCACCGGCTACCTAACCCCTTAACTCCCAAGATCTCATCAGTAATTCTCCTTTCTGTCTGCTACACAATTCTTATTGGATCAACTAATAATCCCCTAATTGATATTTTACTTTATTCTCATCTTTTCTATGCTTGATATTGTATTGATATTGTAAGGAGAAATTCTCTCTTAGTCACTCATGGGAGGTAAAGGGTTAGGGGAATTGGAAAAATATTTGACAACTTCAACTGGAAGCTTTTATTAGCACTAGTTTGGCTAAGTGGAGTCGTGTTTCAGAGCTAGGTTCTTGACATTACGTTCATCAAAAAAATGTTTGAGCGACAGAATGCAAATGACACGAAAAAGAGATGTAATATCCATAGTGAAAAGAAGTTTGTCTTGGCTAAGGAAATTAACGACACGAACAATTTCAAGTGCGTGTTGGCTGTCTTTAATGTATGATGGTAAAGTTTTGACGATAGGAGTCATAAATGTACTTAACTCTACATTATAATTTCCTAGTATTTCTTTCTCTAATTGTTACGACTCGTTTAACCCTACTTCTGCTGGTTAAAAAACGCACAAATTTGTCCACATTCAGTTTTTAATTCATATCTCAACAAATATTTACAGGAATAACACCTACAATATGTCATTTTAAAGTGTATAGAATGGGCTTCTCAGGGGAAAAAAATTCATCATTGAAACCCAGGACTTTCCTAAAAAGTAAAATTTAAAACACAAAATAAGTAAGACATAGTGTAAAACTTGAGGTAAAAGTCACTTTTCCTCATAGGTATAGGTTACTTAAGATTAATTGATAGCAGAAGTTAATTATTAACACTCAGCAACATTTCTGAAAATCTGAAAGAAAAAGAATAAATAATGAATTTTTTTATGAATTTTTATGTGCACCCATGTCATTCCAAAAAAAATTAGCAAAAATAGGTCCACATTCAGTTTTAATTCATATCTCAACAAACATTTACAGGAATAACACCTACAATATGTCATTTTAAAGTGTATAAAATGGGCTTCTCAGGAAAAAAAAAATTCATCATTGAAACCCAGGACTTTCCTAAAAAGTAAAATTTAAAACACAAAATAAGTAAGACATAGTGTAAAACTTGAGGTCAAAGTCACTTTTCCTCACAGGTATAGGTTACTTAAGATTAATTGATAGCAGAAGTTAATTAATTTCAAAGGTGTACGATGACTGTTTGATGCAAAATTAAACTTTGCATAGAGTAGCATGTGTCTAGGGCTAATTATCCTGAAGTGTTATTAAACCTTTCGTTTATCACTAATGAAGATTATCTCTCATCGAGAAAGGACAACGTCCTAGTCTGCTAGGGTAGAGATTTTGAGTCACATAAAACCTTAACAAGTGTAAAACTGTACAATTCTTGCCACTTCAACCGGAAAATACATGAACAGCTGTTACGTTCTTTGATGAAAAGCCATTTTATTGACAGTATTAGTTGAACCTGAAATGTCTTGTCTACCTGGAACACGTGACTCCTTGAATATAATTACCCCGAAATGCAAATAACATTTCAGCTGCTGTTGCTTGGTGTTGTAGCAAGTTCCTCTCCTCTGAAACAACGCGTTTTATTCCGAAAAAAAAGACTGTTTACCGTAATTCATTTAGTCATAAGTTTATAAGATTGACTCGTCGGCAGTGAACAAAACCATGGAGAATGCGTCTGCATTCACAAGAAGTTTACCCTCCAAGGAAGAAGGGATCGCACTATGCAGCGCTCTCATTTTATCTTCGGTCCTAATCATTGCAGGAAACTTGCCCACTCTGGTTCTCTTTGCAGTTACCAAACCACTTCGTAGGAAAAGTTTATTTTTAGTTATGAACATGGCGTTTGCTGATTTGATGTTAGGAGCGTTCACTCTGCCCTTTTATATTTTCGTTGCTGGAGGTGATTATCAGCTTTGGACAGTAGAATATGACTCTGAACACATGGTCTACAAAATATTTTACACAAGTTTCGATGACACGTTTTTGTTAGGCTCGTATATATCTGCAGCCTCTATTTCTTGTGAGAGATTTTATGCCGTATTTTGGCCCTTTAAACACCGTTCATTATCCACCAGAACATACCGCATCGCCATTTTCTTACTTTGGTCTTCCGCTGTCTTGCTGTCTACATTAATGACTTTGTTAAACGTTTCGAGTTCATTTCAATTAGCTCTGTACGTTTTTATCCCCGTAGTGTTGGGTCTAACAATCATCGTATGTGTTTGTAATATCGCCATCTGGAGAAATTTTCAACACCAGAGTGTTGCTTCACAGCATCGAAATGGAGCTTCGCGAAACCGACGCTTAACAAAGACCCTACTTCTGGTTTCCATACTGGCTTTAGTATGTTGGCTTCCCATAGTCATCTTGAACATATTAATCAATATAACGAAGACATCAATACCGTTGAAGTTTTATTACATGGTGAACATTCTAAATTATTCTAACTCTTTTGTCAATCCGATTGTGTATGTATTCAGAATTCCTGAGTTTCAGCAAGCACTGCGTTTGTGTTGCACGAAGAGCAGACCAGCCATTAAGATGGTAAAAATTCAAAGGAAGAAACCGAACGGCTGCACTTAAAACGCCAGAGATAGAACTAAGAATATTCAGAAACGATCTCACTCGCCCGCAAGTTATTGTTGAACGATAATATATGGAAACTAAGTTTTAGTTTGCTGAGATAAGAGGATCGTCCGCGTTGTTACTGAGTAGTGACATCCATAGGAGGAAGGAGCCATAAATGTGGAGTATTGTAAGAAAATAGGATAACGTTCTTAGATTTTCAATTTTTTACTTCACAGAGCCCTGTTGTTGTTCTATAGGGTTGCTTTTTGCAGCAGAAGTTCACACCAGTTAAGTCTGAATTTCATCCAGTGATGAAAATATACAGTTTTATTTATCCTATCTAAGCAAAATATCGTCTCATTTTACGAAAAAAATAAACTCTTCATAAATATGATAATTCTAGCTCTTAAGTTATAGCTCAAATT